CTATTGTGTTTACATGTTCATTTACAGCAGTGGTAAGGGATAGTCTTTGCATAGACATAGTTTAATACAACATTGTAATTCCCCACATGTTATGTCTTTATTTAAATCTCACTTCTCGTTGAAGTGGGCTCTGAATTACAATAAAAAAAACATTTTATATAAATCTAGTATCACACCTTGCCACATCCTCACAAGTCGCATTACATCATACACATTTGCAAATGTGGAGACATCTCTGGCTTGAGCCATATCAAAATATTATACTATGTTCTTATATCAACAACACTGCTCTCCTTCCATTCCCAAATCATATATATAATGAAGATGACTTTTTTTATTATTTAGGAAAGAGTTCCTAAATGGATAGACTGCTTGGAAAAATATTAGATTTGACACGTTTGAAAAATGTGATTTTGGAAATGAGGAGAAAATGTATTATTACTTGATAGGTTTATTTTACAAATGAAAATTGCAGGGTATTGATTGAAATATACATTAGGCCTGTCTCAGATGCCAAAGATGAAAAATCTGATCACACTGTAATTGTATAGCTTAGTATAAGTGTAACTATCAATAGTTCTCTATGATTAATTTGATTCTTTTCTTTTAGGGATGTATATATAATGGATTTATAAAAATATATAATATAATAATATATAATTTTTTAAACCATAGATGGATAATTTTATATTTTCTAAAGTTAAGGCTGAAAAGTGTTCACATAAATATGTCATTTGACTTTCAGTGTCTCCATTTATAATCATGTCTTTGATAAAATTTTCGTCAACAATGAGAAACTTAAAAAGGTTTAAATATGTTTCTCTATAGTTCATCATTTGGGTCTCTGTTCTGCTGAATTGCATTAGACTGAAACTGCTATAAAGAGTAGGTCCTATACATGCAAACCTGCCCCCCTCCATCATGGTATATAAATGCCATGGCATAGAGTTGAGCTGACAGGATGTTTAGGCGATCAGTCAACATGTTATTTGCAGCTGTGCTACTGCTCCTAGCAACTACAGGTAAGTTTTTTGAAATGTGTATCAGCTATTTGTTACAACAAACATAATTTTCCCATCTTGTCTGACTCAGTTACTTCTCATGTCAAAAGGGGTGAAGTCTGAACAGCTAACACAGCCAGCCTCTGTAGCTCTGAAGCCAAGTCAACCTTTGACTATCAGCTGTCAGGTATCTTATTCTGTGAGCAGCTTCTGGACAGCTTGGATCAGACAGTCTGCAGGGAAAGCACTGGAGTGGATTGGAGATGCAAACGGAATTTCAGCAGATTACAAAGATTCACTCAAACACAAGTTCAGCATTTCCACAGAACCCTCCAATAACACAGTGACTTTAAAGGGACAGAATCTGCAGCCTGAAGACACTGCTGTGTATTACTGTGCCAGACTCCACAGTGATGTGAAACATGATCAGAGCTGTACAAAAAACCCCAAACCCCTAAGTCTGAACACTTGTAATACCTGTATGTCACCAGACAAGGAGCTATCAGACAAAAAATAATTTCTGAATGACTTTCCACCAGTGTATTTCAAATTTCCTGCCACTTACTGAATTACAGCTGGTTCCTATTTGGTGCCCACTGGTGAGAAACCACACCCGAAGCAAGTCACTAGTGTTTCACAGGATAACTTAAATATATGTAGAACGCACAGCCACGCACATGCATATACAGACTTCAGGGGCAGCTTAGGGCATCCAATAAAGCTATCCTGAAAGACTCTGCACTGTAGTAAGAAGCCATAAAGGCTAAAGTTGACCCACATACAGTTATTAAAGGCATAGTACACCCAAAACATGATTAGCCTTCATTTTCTACTCACCCCCATGCTGAACAACACTCTGGAGTACTTTTTTGATATCTCAAATGC